CCCAACCAGTTACAGTTATCTAACCCGGTCAGTTAAGGCTACCTGACTTGACAGTTGCAATTACCCGCACCGAATTGTTACAATTACCCGATCCAATCAGTTACAGTTATTCGACTCAACACAATTTGTTACAGTTAATCGGTCCAATCAATTAAAATCCGTTACAATTACTCGGTCCAACTATTCACAATTATACGGTCCGATAATGACCATTGTCGGCTGCCTATCAGGCAGCCCGCCAACCGCCAGTATTGGCAGCCAGTGACCAATTGCCACGGTAGCCTGGCAATGACCCGACACCGCCTATTTCGCTCCATCACCACCGGTGACCACCACCGTGCCACCGCCTATCCTGTCCCTTCCGCTGACCAACAACCCAGCCCCAGTAGACTCCAGCAGTCACCCACCACACCCCGCCTGTGACCCGCCCTAGCTGTCACAATCCCCAGCCCCAGCACCACCTTCTGGATCTAGACCATCCCCAACCCTAAAGGCCACACGACATTATGGATTCGGACCAGCACCAGTCCTAGCACCATACGACGGATCTGGATCCCAAAACGAGAAAGAAATTCACCGATCGATATATCCTCAGATTCTCCATCCACCACGCGAGACAGAAAGAGATGAAAAAGAAGGCGAGCGGTGGAGCTGCTATGGTGGTGCGCGGCGAAGTGGCGGAGCTGCGGTGGGGGATGGTGAAGGTGTGAACCCGCGGTGGCTGCGCGGGACGAAATTTCCGACCTGCGATGCTTCGGCGTTGGCGACTTGCTTCAGTGGAGGCGGAGACTGCTCGAGATGGAGATGGTGGCGAGTTGGCGACATTCGAGATGCGGACGGTGGCTGAGAACCTGGACAGACCCAGGCGAATAGAAAGAGGACAGAGCCAGTGGCGGACCCAGAAATTCAGGGTCACGGGGTCCCTACCATAATGTAACTCTAATTAATAAAAAAAAAATAAGTGAAATATTAAGAGACTGTTTGGTGACCTTGTTTTTCTGCTTATCAGGTTTATCAGTTAACTTATTCACTAAACACGCAACTTTTGATTTTGTACGCTGAATTGTGTAATAATAATACAAATAAGGTTAGAGTTACTTTTTTTTGTTGTATTGCCTGAAGTCACAGCATAAAATCATTTTAGCTATCTTTCATATAATTTTATCTTTATTTTATTAATAAAATATATTTTGAATATAATTTTTTCATAAATCAGTTGAATCAACCAATTCAGTCATTTCAGCCATAACTTCATAAATTTTAGATAAATCAGCCAATACAACCGATTTGAGTATTACCAAACAGGCTATAAAGTAGCATCATGTTTCATAGTTAACGACTCAACATACATTATCAAAATATTAAAATAGTCATAACACATAAAATTACATATATATTTCATTCTACAATTCTACAAATGTACCTTATTAGGTTTGAACATGTTGGTCTTCTATAATTCAATTAGTCCAAAAATTGAATTGTGTAAAGTGTAAACTTGAAGACAATGATTTTTTAGAATAAAAAGTTTTTAAATAAGAAGCGGAGAGTCTAGAGGGGTTCAAACCCTACATCTCCTCAACTTGGGCGTCTAAAAAATGCTACTGCAACCACTCCTCCGCTGCAATTCTTTGGTACCATACTAGCTATTATATTATTTATACAGTTTTTAGTAAATTTTATATAAAATATACATAATATATATATAGTTATTTTTTTAGATCCATTGTAACACCCCAAATTTTCCCACTCAAAATAGCTTGGAAAAATTTATAATAAAATGAAAACTTTATTAAGAAAATTTCAGCGGAAGTCTTAAACAATGGAAATTTAGAGTGTTACCGCCACACTTAGCAAAACATGGCTAAGTGCACAGGCAAACAAAACAAATGTACTTAGTAAATAACAGGTGCGAAGTAAAAGTAACAGAAGTGATCTAGAGCAATGTTCTTAAAAATAAAGTTGTAACATAAAAGTCTTGCTAGGGTATCTTCTAGTGCACGCTCTCAAGTCACTAACCAAGCACATCATCCACAGCAATATCATCTGTAATTTTAGAGAAAGAGAAGAAGGACAAAGGAACAAAATAAAACAAAAATTAGCTTATGCTAAGTAAGCCCCACCCAACCCCGTAAAATAATAGGTTTGGTAAAAATAATATTTTGTATACCATATATGAAAAGGTAGTTTAAGAAATAAATTTCATGGTATACCTCTTTCAAAAAAATGGATGATTCTCACTTTCATTTAATAAAATATTTTCCTTAGTAATGTCTGAAAATATAATTATATCAAACTCCTAATACATTTGAAGGGCGGTGCTCAACATTTTATTGAGCCCGGTGGTCCGTTGTTATGTACGGCCACCCCGGGACTTTTGCCGGTACCACTTCTAACCTAGGGAAACTGAACCTCTACCTTAAGTGTGCACACCCTCTAAAAGGGATTCCAAGCCCTCCGAGTAGTAAGAAGTCCAAGTAGTTCGGACGTCAACGTCCCCCTACTCCACCAAAAGGGATTACCCTATAAAAGTGACTAGGTTTGCTACTAATGCCAAAATCCACCAAATATATATCCATTGTTCGGGATTTGTCCATTTAACGCACCAAAATCATTTATTTAATTTGTTCGGATTGGTTACCGAACCCACCAAGCAATTAGTAGCATCCCTAACCACTCCTTCACAATTAATGGTCGTGAAGGGGACCGACACCACGGATTTCTCCCGTGATGCCCTTACATTGAAAAGGTTCATTTTATCTTAATTTTCAAAAATTCAGGGATTACTACTCACGTAATTTCCCCAAAGTTTTTCAACATTTAATAATGATCACACATTCATAACTGTTCAACAAATAGTCAAATAGTACATATTCATACATACAATATATATACGAGGTAAAAATGCATTTTGGTTGCAATGTGACTTACCTCAAACTCCAAGTATCGTATAGCTACTTACTCCAATTATGCACTTTCACCCAATTCTCCTTCTATTAAAGAAAAGACTCAATATCAATCACTACCCAAGTTGTAGCCTAACCCCTTTTTATTCGTTAGTTCTATATTCTCCATTTCTCGAATATGAGTTGATAGCTACTTCTGGCTTAGTATATATTAAATATTAATTAATCAAGTAGTATAAATTATGTTTATTGGATATGAAATTATTATTAAATTAATCTTTATTGACGTACAATTAAAGTCATTAGTTCAATAAGGCCTTAGTCATATCAATTGATAAATTTTTATTTATTTAAAATCTGATTCATTAGTTTACAGAAGATTTTCATGATTATAATAACGAGTATTTTTTTACTTTATACCCTTTATCGAATGCCAATTATTTTATATTATTCGGTTTACAATACGGTAATTTTAATTATTCGTATTAAGATAAAATATTTACAAATACATGTTGGTATGTCCTGTGAAATTATTACACGGTCCATGATTAAACTAATTCAATCAATCCAGCCGCAATTAAAAGTACTTTAGTTTAATCGGTCCATACTTCAAAATTTCAACTTTAACTTCCTGGGTTATTTACTAATTCTCTATTTGAGTACTTAGATCAATAAAATTGTTCCAATCCAACTCACGTTAATCTATATTCCATTTATTATAAAGCTAAATCCTTTAACAACATAGATATTAGTGTGATTGTAACTCATATTATTATCCCGTATTTATCGGTAGGCCGGTTTATTATCATTAATACTATTCGTTGTTATTACTGTTATTACGTTATCATTATATGATTATCAATCCAGGCCAATTGCAGATTTGCTAAAAACTACACGGTTAAGTTTTTAACACAGTAGTTATTCACTGTTATCATTATGTTCAAGCACAGTTATAAATGGTCGTTTTCTTCGCAGGTTTATCAGGGTTACCTCACTCGACGACGTAACTGGTCTGTTGACGGCGACGCTTGGCGGCAGCTCGGCGATGTATCTTTATTGACGTTAGCGGCTCCTCGGCGTCACCCCGCTACGTGTTGCTCTCCGGCCTACGGCGTACGACTTCCCTCCGGCGTACCGTTCCTTCTCCTCCTCCGACGTGGACCGGAGCAAGGTGTTTTGTCGATTTTTCCCCGGCGTTTTAGTACAGCCCGAAGGCTTCTATAGAGCGTATATATTTAGATTTGGTGTTGGGCGAGTAAGTGCAATGCAGACTGCAGTGAGGGTATGAGTATTTATACTGTTTATGGATGGTTCTAGGCCTTACATTGGAAATCTCCGATTTACTACGGATATACCGAGGATTGCACGGAAGTCTTCGTTATTTGTATATTATTACGTTTACATAACCCGAAAGGTTGGGAATTGGATTCGTTTGTTTGGAAATACGTACGTAGTACACTTTTAGTTTAGATTAAATGCATTCGTGTTGGAAATACGTAGTATGCTTTTAAATTAATTGAATGCATGCATGTGCTAAATATATTAGGTTGAATAGTCAACCATTATTCTTTGGTTTAAAAATAATTTAAGTTGCATTTGAGTGTAACATAATTTAACATATCATTTTATAGCAAAACGTCACTTATTTCACTATTTTTACTTTTGTTACATTTATTTATTTACTTATTTATTATTATTATTATTATTATTATTATTATTATTATTATTTGTTAAAATTTTTTTAGAGTGTTATATCCATGGGGTCCCGGGACCCCGTGGGACCCTTGGTGGGTCCGCCATTGGACAGAGCGGATACGTTAGGTTGGAAATAGGCCATTTTTTCCCTTTTATATGAAGGGTAACTCTGTCATTTCATGCCTAAATAGGTCTCTTTTTTGTCTATCCGGGATTCATGTCTTATTTTTGTAAATTCATAAGCTGCAAGTAGTACGCTTGTCATTCTTTCTTGATACAACTTAAAAAAAGGAATTTCGAACGATTATTTTGACAAAGAGGAAAACATATACTCCGTACTAGTATTACGTACATTTCGTGCCACACTCGTGTCTGTCTTTCATACCAAACATTCCCCTGATTTAAAAAACTCCCCACAAACATTAAACAATAGGTAGCCGTGGAAATAGCCATGAGGTCAATTCATCCTCTTATCTCTTTTCCTAAGAAATTCAACTCTTTATGTTGCGACTTGGCAGTAGTGCAGCGTCAAAACCGCCATATCCAGCTATCTCCTTCCGCATCTTCATCAAGAAACCCTCAAAATGATGAAAACCTGATTTCTCTTGTCAAATCGACTACTCAAACACGTCATCTGCTCCAAATCCATGCTCAAACCATTCGCACTTCTCTATGTCGTGACCCCAGGGTTTTCTCGGCTTTCTTGACTCGCATCTCACTTCCGCCCTTTCAAGATTTGGGTTATGCTCGGAGGATGTTTGATGAATTCCCGCAACGGAATGCGTCATCTTACAATATAATGATCAGGGCTTATGCGATTGGGAACCTGCCCAAGGAAGGCTTAGAGCTGTATAGGGAAATGCTTCCCCTGGGCGTATCTCCAGACTCTTTGTCACTGTCGTTTGCAATCAAATGTGCGGTAAAGGTTGGTTCTTTTTATGAAGGAATGCAGATTCACACCCGCGTTCTTAGGTATGGACATCAATCCGACAGTCATTTGCTCACATCTTTGATGGACTTCTACTCATCTTGTAAGAAGTACAGTGACGCTTACAAAGTGTTTGATGAAATGTATGTAAAGGACACTGTTTCTTGGAACATGTTGATAGCTTGCTTCATGAAAAATCGCCGCCGTCACGATGCTTTACACGTATTCGATATGATGATGCAGAATTCAAATGCGTGCCGACCAGATGACGTCACCTGTCTGCTAGCACTTCAGGTGTGTGCACAGCTAAACGCGTTGGAGTTTGGGGAAAGAGTTCACAAATACATCGTAGAACATGCTTATGGAGATTCAATGAATATATGTAATATGCTTATAACAATGTATTCACGTTGTGGGTGTGCTGATAAGGCCTACGAGGTGTTCACAAAGATGCCCAGGAAAGATGTTGTGTCTTGGAGTGCAATGATTTCGGGTTTGGCAAGCAATGGCTATGGCAGAGATGCCATTGATGCTTTTAAAGAGATGCAAGCAGGAGGTATTGCACCAGATTGTCACACTTTTACTGGGGTTCTCTCCGCTTGTAGTCACTCTGGTCTTTTAAATGAAGGACGGATGTTCTTCGACAGAATGAGTACACAATTTAGGATTATGCCTAACGTTCATCACTATGGGTGTATGGTTGATCTCATGGGCCGAGCAGGTCTACTCCAGGAGGCATATGAATTTATAAAATCAATGAGAATCAAACCAGATGCAACAATGTGGAGGACACTATTAGCAGCTTGTAAAATTCATCGTGCTTCCGCCCTAGGTGAAAGAGTTATTGAACATTTGATTGAGCTGAGGGCCGAAGAAGCCGGAGATTATGTGTTGTTGTTGAATACATATAGTTCTTTTGGCGGTCATTGTGATGATAAGGTGGTTTACTTGCGGAAATTGATGAAAGAAAAGGGAATCTATACAACTCCAGCTTGTAGTACAATAGAGATGAAAGGGAAAATCCATGAATTTATTGCAGACGATGTTTCACATCCTATGAGAGGTGAGATCTATGAGAAGTTGGATGAGATCAATAAGCAACTTACAATTGGTGGATATGTGGCTGAAATAACACCAGAAGTGGAAGAAAAGAGGGTTAGATCATCTTTTCACAGCGAGAAGTTGGCGATTGCTTTTGGCGTGCTGTCAACTTCACCTGGAACTACAATAAGAGTTGCCAAAGACCTCAGAATTTGTGTTGACTGCCACAATTTTGCAAAGGCCCTTTCTGGGGTGTACAACAGGGTGGTAGTTATTAGAGACCGCACTCGCTTCCATCACTTTCGTGGAGGCTACTGCTCTTGCAATGACTACTGGTGAGGTAAAAATGTATTTGACACTGTGAGCTGAAGATTAAGGCTAATGTGTCTATATATAATTATATACAGTATGTTTGTAGAATTAGTACTGCAGATGGAATTCAAGACGGAAAAAACAGATATATACTCCCTTCGTTTCATATCGGTTCTCATTTCAGTTAGCACAAAGTATATAGTGGTGGTGGGTGGGGAGTAGAGAAACAGGAGAGTATAAAGGTAAGGTGCTACTACGTATTTCAAATCAAAAGCCACTGTATGTTACTGCTGAAACAGCATATGTTTGTTTTTGTTTGCTAGTGTACTTTCGTTTTTGGGCCCTAGAGTATGTAAGTCCAATTTCATATGTCAATTCATGTTAGCCGACCCCAAACTCTTCTGGGACTAAGGCTTAGATGTTGTTGTGATGCAACTAGTATTGTTGAAAATGTATCTGAATTATTGCAGAATATTTCATATTACGGAGCATAATTTAGAATCTTTCATAATAAGGCAACTGGGATAATTATCACCAATATATAAATTTATGATGTTTGTGTGATGGAAGTGATAAGATTTCTTTGTGTTTTAGCTTGGGTAAGAATGTAAGATTAGAGCCTATGCACAGTTAGTTGTAGAGATAACATTTCCCAGGTGAGTGTGTTTTTTGTTACTCCGCTATTAAAATGTATTTTTTTTTAAATTCAGGTATCTAAGTCTTGGTGGAGGCCAAAGTCAATGCAGTCCATGAATTCTGGACTGCAGGCTCAAGTTCTGTCCCGGTTTGCTTTTCCAGCATTCTGCCACCTCACATCATACTATGCCTGTTACTTACATACTGTTATTATTCGGAGCAGGCTGTGGCCTTGAAGGAAAAGATGTGCATCGACACATTGGGAGGGAATGTGTATCATTGGCTAATCAACTGGGAGTCTTTGCTTATCTCATCTCTTTTCCAACCTCTTTTTATCAACCTTTTGTGCCTTCCTCTACGGGAACGTCACCTCACCAAGAATGACCAAGAACGATGGTGGTCATGTTTATATCATTATTCCTTTACCGGATGAGGAGAGTCGTGTTTTATGCTACGAATGCCCCATTTTTCTTCCAGTGATGTGTGTGGCTTGAGGCCTTTTGCTGGGCCTCAGAAATGGAAATATACTTTTCTTAGGCACAGATGATTGAGAAGAGGCCTTTGCAGTCGTGGATACTCTTGGATGCCTGTTGTGTTGTAAGAAGATGTAAATTCAGTTTTTGCAACAGGACTCTGCTCGCCCTAGTTTCTATCCTACAGGGGTTGCTTTTATGGCTATTTCAAGCTAGACTATTGTAAAATTTAATACCTCGTATTTATTTCGGTAAATTTGTAAGAACAGCACTATAGAAGTATAGATAATGGATTTGGCCTACTTCAATCTGGTCTCTCTGCGGATCACAGTTTATGATGTAATTACTCATTTTAAAATGTCAGCATTTTTTACGAGCATTGGGTTATTCCTCAGCTTTTAACCTTGTAATAGCTAAATTATACTACCTGTGTTATGATTAAATGGCCCCATTGTAAAATGATAAGGTTATTTAGATAATAATTAAATAAGGTAATTCAAATATATTTTGTGAAGTTATAAATATAGGAGTATTATTTTTAATAATTGATATTAAATTGTCATTGAGTGTTACTTGTTCTCTAAAGTAGAAATAAAAATCTTTATATGAGAGTGAAAGTGAGAATCTTAGAATAAGACGGAGGAAGTACTACCTCCGTCCCTAATAAAACTTCCAATTACGGGTTACGAAGTTTGACCAGCAATAAAATTAAATGATCCCTGTGAAAACTCGGATTATTTTTAGTAAATAAAATTTACATATTCAGAAACTACATTAAACCCGCTACAAAGCCTGCAAAAAATAATTCACTTTTTATAAATTTTTGATATATAAAGTAAGAGTTTAAGTGTGATTTAAGTTGACCCTCGAAAAGCGAAATGAAAGTTTATTTAGGTACGGAGGGAGTACTACGTATCATACTTATGTTCCTATTAGAACATTCTATTCTATGCGCTATTAAAACATTCTATTGTTTGCGAAGGATATCGTTGAAGGTGATTACAAATTTAAATTATGAGAAAATTGCTTAGAGTTGGATCAGAAGATACTATTATTCCAAAAATAGAATCATGTGTTTGATTTTCCTCAAATAAACTAATCATTTCATTTCTATCCCTAATTAATTGAGTTAATAAGTTGTCCCTAGTTGCCTTGCAAATAAAGGTGATTACAAATTTACATTAAAGAAAATTGCTTTGAGTAGAAACAGAACATAGTATTCTTCCAAGAATGGGACCATATGTTTCGTTTTCCATAAATAGGACCTTATCATTCCATTCATATCCCTAATTAATTGATTAATTAATTTAATTAATTATTTACTCCTAATTCCCTAATCAATTTCCATCCACTCCAGCTCAAGAATCTCTTTTAAAAAACTATAATAATCATTTCAAATTGAGTCATCACTACTTATGCCACTAACACAAACAACATTGTTGTATATTTTCTACCTTCAGCCAATGTGAAAATTATGGGCCAAGAGTTTGCAATTCTCAATGGTCCTAAAGTCAAGCAACGGATATGGGGACTACCTGACACAAGTTGTGAGTTACAATTTCCCTATACAGCATTATATCCATCTGTTTAGCAAGTATTGTGACCAAGAATTTTATTATTAATTTGACCGCACTGATAAAGGTGTGTGCATAGCGAGACCCTACACACACGAATGTGAATATGTGATGTGCCGACCAAAACGTGTTGGCTGGTCATACTCTTGAGTCGTAATAACATTATTCGCTGGTGGGAAATATATGCATGTATTCACACACACGAACCTACACAAGAGAAGGTGGGAGGAAGCTAATTACTTGAATAGCTATTTATCAGCTTTGTAGTTAGCTACCAAATCACAAAAAAAAATTAAAAGAAAGCAGAGGAAATTGAGAATGGGAAAGGGCATATCATTGTTATGGCCGTCGATGGAAATGGGAATTGCAGTGGGAGTGAGCTTGCTGCTGGCGGTGAGTGTGGCCAGCAAATGCTTTGATGGAGAGAGAGAAGTGCTCCTCAAGTTCAAGCACAACGTTTTTGACGGAGAGGACAAGCTAAGGTCTTGGGGCAACCACAGTGAAGATTGCTGCCGCGATTGGGAGGGGGTTAGGTGCGATGACGCTACTGGCCATGTCATCCGGATTGATCTGACTATTGGGGGTCTGTCCGCGAAAGGTGGTGGGAAGTGTACGACCAGCCTTCCATTGTTTGAGCTGCGCTATTTGAGGTATTTGGATCTCAGTTATAACGATGAGCTGCTGTTAAACCGGAGCATCTCATCATTGATTGGGAACAACACTATGCTCTCCCTTCAACATCTAAATCTTGCATGGACCGGAATTGTGGGCAACATTCCTGAAACTTTTGGAAACAACATGCCTGCCCTCACATACCTTGATCTGTCCGATAATAAGTTAGAAGGTTCCATTCCTAAAACTTTTGGAAACAGCATGCCTGCCCTTACATACCTTGATCTCTCCCATAATAAGTTAGAAGGTTCCATTCCTGAAACATTTGGAAACAACATGCCTGCCCTTACATACCTTGTTCTGTCCGATAATAAGTTACAAGGTTCCATTCCTAAAACTTTTGGAAACAGCATGCCTGCCCTTACATACCTTGATCTCTTCTATAATAAGTTAGAAGGTTCCATTCCTGAAACATTTGGAAACAACATGTCTGCCCTTACATACCTTGATCTCTCTGCTAATGCGTTTGAAGGAGAAATACCTAAATTCATTTGGAACATATGCACTTTGAAGGTCTTGAGCTTGGCTTCCAACAGTCTTGGTGGGAACCTTATCATATCCACACTATGCTCAAACCACTCTCTGCAGGAACTGTATTTACCAAGAAACCGACTGACGGGGTCATTTCCAGATCTCACCAAATTCCCCTCTTTGACCAAATTATTTATTGGTTATAACCTCCTCCGTGGGGTCATTTCGGAACATCACCTTGTTACACTCCCCAAGCTACGCACCCTGGACTTATCTTCTACCAATTTCACTTTCAATCTCACCTCTACTTGGCTTCCTCCTTTCCAATTGGAACGTATATTCCTCAGTTCATGCAACTTGGGCCCTCGGTTCCCCAATTGGCTCAGAACGCAAGTCAACATTACCATTATTGACATTTCCAATAACGCCATCTCGGATTCAATCCCCTCCTGGTTTTGGAATACAACTATTACTGGTTTTTTGCGAGTTAATATTTCTAATAACGGAATCAAGGGAAAAATTGAAATTGGTGCTCATGCATCAGTCAGCGGTGATGTTCTTGATATGAGTTCCAATCAATTGGAAGGTGCCATTCCATCCTATTTCTTAAATGTGAAATTACTATTTCTTTCTCAGAATAACTTCACCGACCTCAACTCTCTATGTGATATCAAGACATTTTCTCCTTTGCAGCTTTTGGATGTCTCATCCAATCAACTTTCCGGAACACTTCCGGATTGCTGGTCATATCTCTCTAGTTTGCAAGTTCTGTACCTGGGAAACAATCACAATCTATCTGGGACTCTTCCAACATCCATTGGGTCATTGACTTCTCTGAAGACATTGCATCTTGACAATAATAATTTTACAGGCCCTCTACCTTCATCCATTAAAAATTGCTCCAACGCTCCAACTTGGTATCTTTAGATCTGGGGCACAACAACTTGTTTGGATCAGTACCAAATTGGGTGGGTGAAAGTCTAACAAAACTTGTGATACTTGTGCTAACAAACAACAACTTCAATGCAAGTGTACCAACAAGTCTGTGCCATCTCCAGTCTCTTCAGTTGTTGGACCTGTCCTTGAACCACATCTCAGGGACTCTTCCCAAATGTCTTTCTAATCTCACCCAAATGATAACTGTAACAGGAGGTGATAGCAATAATAGCATTGCCGCCGCCAGGCCCGCCACTACTAATCTGATATGGTTTCACACTGATGTTTCAAACAATGCATCAACGGGATTGTCAATAGATGACGTAATAGCTGTTAGGTGGAAAGGTGTTATCTCTGAATTTGGAAGTACGTTACGATATGTAAAGAGCATAGATCTATCATCCAACATGTTGGAGGGTGAAATTCCAACTGAAATCACATCTCTTGTTGGGTTGGTCTCGTTGAACTTATCACAAAACAATCTAACGGGACACATTCCTCCGAGGATTGGTAACTTGGCACACTTAGATACCCTTGATTTGTCGAGTAACCATTTGTCTGGTAACATTCCTCAAAGCCTTGTCCTGATTCCTCGCATAGGCCTCCTCAACGTGTCCAACAATAACTTATCTGGCAAAATTCCGAAAGGCACTCAACTTCAGAGCTTCACTGCATCGTCCTACACGGGGAATCCCGCGCTATGTGGAGATCCACTCCTCAACAGTTGTCCAGGAGAAGAATCTACTCGTCCTACTGCTCCTCGATTTAGTGAAGAAGGAGCTTCTAATAGAGAAGAAGAGGACACACTTCTTGGCGGTGAGTTTTATGCAAGCATAGGGGTTGGATATGCAGTTGGATTTTTGGGAGTTCTTGGGACAATGCTATTCAACCGGTCCCCTTACCCATTTGGGTGGTGGTTTGCAGTGTAATTTTATGATGAAAGTTTTTGAGCATCTTCTTCATTAAATCTAGTTTATTGATACCAAATTTCAGCTAAAAATTCAACCAATAAGGCAGTCCAATGATTTTCTGAAATATACTGCTCTGTTTAACTGCACAATTATCTTTAAAAATTCATTTGACTGCCTTCCCGATTAAATTTTTTACTGAAATTTGATGTAGGTAAATTAGACTTAATGAAGAAGATTCTCAAAAAAAAAAAATCATCAAAAAATTACAACGGGAACCGCCCCAAATGGCAACGCCCTTGGAAAATACATAGGTATAATAATAGTAATGTTTAAAAAATTATGGGCCCCTAATTTTTTCATTTTTGGGGGGCCCTGAGGCTTGGGCCTCTCCAGCCTAACATAAGGCACGGGCCTGCTTTGAAAGTCTTATTTTACTTCGTAACTAAATCAAAGTCTTATTTTACTTAGTAACCAAATGTGCAAATAATCTTGACCTATAATAACAATAAAATATTGGGTATGTATGTATTAATGTATATATGTATGTGTGTGTTTGAGTGATTGTGTGCGTGAATTATGTAATATTATTAGTGTTTGATCTAAATTTGAACGCTCACTAATATGTTGAGTTAGTTAATCTATTTATGGTTATTTAGAATTAGATTTCTTTTGGGAGTGTAAAGATAAGTTAAGTATTCGTAAAAGGAAATTTTAAGTAAAACTTTTTCGATGTTGTATATAAGTACAAACATAATCCTAAAAAAAAAACTCCCTAGTTAGTTAGTTCCAAATATCATCTTTATAACTAGTATAGTACCCGTGCATACGCACAGGAAAGAGCAGTTGGTGCATATCCTTTTACTCATAATTTATTTAAATATTAAAATAAAAATAACTTTTTAAAATTTTACATTTTCGAAAAATAATAGTAGTTCAATAAGCTAATGCCACTAAATATAAGCCCATATAGTATATATTCAATGAAGAGTATATTAGGAAAGATCTATTGACACTACTAATTAGAATTTGCTACTTATTCATTTCCATGTTTAGATTAATTTTAAATTAAATAATATTCTAAAAAAGTGAGTACAATAAGTGAGTGACATAAAGTTTAAGTGAATACAATAACTATTAAAATTAACAAATATTAGTTAAATAATAACTTGACATTCATTGGTAAATTAGTGCTACCATATGAGAGAGAAAATTATCCTACTCAATTCTTAACCGGCTTAACTTGTTATACCTAAACAATTCTCTCACTCAATTGTTAGCCGAATTATCTTATCTTCTTATATCTAAAAGCACTATGTATGATAAAGAAAATTATACTCCTTAATTGTTAGTCGGCTTATCTTATACTAAAAAAACTACATATATGATAATTCTTCCGCTCAATTGTTAGCAACTTTATCTTCTAATAACTAAAAGCACTACATATGAGAGAGAAAATATTTTCGCTTAATTATTAGCAAGCAAGCTTATCTTGTCATATCTAAAAAGATGACATATGAGAGAGAAAATTCTCTCGTTCAATAAGTATTCGGAATACTACCCGATTATCTTAAAGCACTACATATGAAAGAGAAAATTTTCACTCTGAACGGTTAGCCGATTATCTTATATACTTAAGAAGAACTACCCGTGAGGGTAGAAGTTATCTCACTCAATTGTTTTCAAGTTTATCTTCTTAGCTTCTTCTTATATGTCTAAAAGCACTACATATAAGAGAGAAAATTATCTTGCTCAAGAGTTTAGTCATCTTATCTTATACTCCCTCCGTCCCCTTTTAAATGTTCTGTTTTACCATATTGGGATGTCCCTATTTAATTGTCTCATATCTTATTAGGTAAAGTTTGTGTGGCTCAAAATTATTCTTACTTTATTCTTAACTTATCAATTAATATCAACCACACAAACTCCATTTTCTTAAAACTCGTGCCACCATCTTCCGTCCCAATAAAAAAGGGACGAAGGTAGTAATACTTAGAACTACATATGAGGGAGAAAATTATTCCGCTCAATTGTTAGTAAGTTTATCTTCTAATACCTAAAAGCACTACATATGAGCAATAAAATTCTCCCGCTCAATTCTCCTTCTCAATTGTTAGCAATCTTATCTTCTAATGCCTAAAAGCATTACATATGTTAGAAAAAATCTTCTCACGCAATTATTAATTAGTAAGCTTATTTTTTTATTATGTAAAACTCTTACATATGAGAGAGAAAGTTCTTCAGATCAATTGTTAGCCGGTTTGTCTTATACTAAAAAGAACTACATATATGATAATTCTCCCACTCAATTGTTAGCAATTTTATCTTTTAATAACTAAAAGCACTACATATGAGAGATCAAAATTTTTCGCTTAATTATTAGCAAGCAAGCTTATCATGTCATATCTAAAAAGACTACATATGAGAGAGAAAATTTTTCCGCTCAATTATTAGTCAGCTTATGTTATACCTAAAAACACTACTTATGAAAGAGAAAATTTCACTCTCAACGGTTAGTCTTATATACTTAAGAAGAACTACCTGTGAGAGTGGAAGTTCTCTCACTCAATTGTTAGCAAGTTTATCTTCTTTGCTCCGAAGTCTTAATAAATAATAATGCCACATGTAACCATCCATGACTAAATATAAGTCTAGCCAGGAAGTTCTACTCTAACTTCTTCAGTGATTAGCCTTCAAGTTTGTTGATTGTCGTAGCCTGCAGACAATTATAGAAAACCGTCTTCTTGTAAGTTTGAAAGTCCATGGCAATAGGGAAAGAGATGCATACATGTAAAAAATGTAAATCTCATCTCCTAGGTTGCCTCCATACATTTTCTTGCTCCAATGACATGATTTTGAAGTTGTGACAATTGATCTAGTTCCATTACATAAATTTTCAAATTGATCGATATTTCTTAACGACATTTTTAGATTTGCAACCTTGATTTTATCTTGGAATTTTGAACCTATGTTCCTAAGAAATTTAAAAACTCAGGTGTAGATGCTTCAAATCTTCTCATTCAACTACATCCAACTCATGTACAAAATCACACCTTCAATATTCTCTTTCTTCACCTACAATAATAAGTAGTAAAATATTACTTGTATTCTTTTGTTTGCTACAATAGATATTGACACATTTTTTAAGAGTGAAATAGTAGGGGTAATAATAGTGTAGATAAAGTAGGATAGATGATAGAAATGTATGAAAGAGAAGATAAAAAGTAGAAAAAAGTAAGGGTAATTGAGTATTTTTAAATGAAAAACTTACCAAAAGGGAAAGTGTAACAAATTTTTGAATACATTCAAAAAAGGAAAGTGTAGTGAACAAAAAAATATGGAGGGAGTAGTATATTTGACATGGAAAAATTTGTTTAAAATAATATTTTCTTTCATTTATTATGAAATAATACCTTATACTCCCTATATGACAAAAATGAATCTAAAGTGTGTTGTTGCTACAATGTAATTGTAATCATAGTGTACGTTGATTTTTTTTCAAATTCCCTTAACAGTGAAAAGCTTTCAGCAAATATGAGATGAAATTGCAAATCTTGTAGGATAACTATGATGTAATTAAATTTTGTGCACCACCATTTATACCCCAATACAATATGTATACTATGGGCTGAAGAACAACCTAAAAATTTGCCTAGTCTAGAGCTGGTGTTTTAGCTATTGGACTGCTATTTCAGTCCATTTCTTGAAAGATTAATTGCACTATATACAACTCCCAAGTGCCATTTTAAACAAAAAATTTATTGATGGAGCACACAAAAGTTCAATGTCTCAGTTGTGGTGAATTTAAAAACAACAGCCTGAGCAGTTCAAATGAGCTTCTCTGATTTAGGAAATTCTTCATCTGGGTGACGGATGAACAGTTCTCCCATTGGAGCATGCAACAGCTTCTGGTGGCCACAGAGAAAAACTACATATACAAGAATAAAGCATGGAACCTTTTAAGCACAAGATGCTATTCTGGTCTTAAGCATGTTTTTAATCCCTCCAAATAATTTATGTCATTTTTTTAGCTCCTCCCAATCACTCTATTAATTAAAAGGAAAAATGGCTCTGAAAACTCCCATTTAGCCTATCCATGCCATTTCTGAGGAATGCTCAAGTTTCTTTTCCACACCATGCAACTTTCTATAATTCACTTGTGACTATTATAGAAGTGGGTAGACAGATTCCCCATTCTAACTTTCAATGTGAGTGACTTGTGGAAAAAATTAAGCATTTAAGAAAATGGCATGGAAACACTGGACTGAAATGCTTGGGAGCAACACCAATTTATATATTCCTTATTGTTTTCAAAAGAAATTGACTTGAATGATCAAATAAGAAAATGGCAGAACAAAGAGAAACCGGCTGCCTAAAACAGAACAAAAAAGATGCATTTGATGGAACCAAAAAACATACTGCCTCCGTCCCGAAAACGGCGAAAAGGTTTGCCAAATTTCCTTTTAAAGTAAGGAATATGTGGCTAAAATTAATTCTCTCTCCTTTGCACAAATTTCAACCACACAGTTTTTACTTTATTAATCCACGTGAAAGTCAACTTTGGCAAACCTTTTCGGGACGGATGGAGTATTTACCTATGCCACTCTAAGATAAAAAATCAATTTTTTGTTATATATCCACCCACTCAATGTATTCTTCTTATACTGCAATTCCTTTTGAGCCAAAAAGAATTTTTGGTTATACATCCACTCACTCAATGTATTCTCCTTATTTATTAATATAGAAGATTATATATTAAAAACCATTATAAGTGGGAATTTTCATAAAATTTAATAAAGCAAGAACTGTAATAAGAATACACATAGAGAAGCAGATATGACATAGTAGCCGTTTTCAATGAAATCAATAGAGCGTCAATTTAGTACTTCATTCATAATACTAATATAAAGACTAATATCTTTTTCTCATATAAACATTTCAGCAAACACTATATGTTTTGATGAAAATAAAACTCATGTAAATACTGCGCAATATAAAAAAGCGCTAGGGGCAACCTTAGTTTAGAACTCAATTCTTGAGTTGGTTGGTCTTAATAAAAAACTAAAGTAAATGGAAAGAAACGTGGTTTATTAGGTATGATAAAGGTCAGTATAGTTAAAAAGACATAAAATAAACTTTAATTTTCAAATTCAATCCAAAAGCCTACCAAAAGCACATCCTAAAACATAGTTTAAAGAGTATAAAGTGTGAATCCATGTGCCTATCTACGGGAGGCCATGAAAGTAGTATAATATGTGAGTAGATCAACCCTTATTCAATAGTATGACGAAACGCCGTGAAAAAAGAGCTAGGGGGCAACCTTAGTTTAGAACTCAATTCCTGAGCTGGTTGGTCTTCAATCAAAACCTGAAGTAAATGGGAAAACGTAATTTATCAGGTATGATAAATGTCAGTATAGTTAAAAATATAGAAAATAAATTTTAGTTCTCAATTCCAATTTAAAAGCCTACTAAAACCAAATCCTAAAGAATAGTTGAAAGAGTATAAAGTGTGAATCCATGTGCCTGTCTGTGGGAGACCATGGAAGTAGTAGATTTTGTGAGAAGATCAATCTTTATTCGAGAGTGTAAAGAAAGACCATAAAAAAGAGCTACAGGGCAACCTTAGTTTAGAGCTCAATTCTTGAGGTGGTTTGTCTTCAATCA